AAGCCTCCCCTCAGCAGGCCCGGACCTCCTCCAGCCCCACTGCCTCTCGGGGAACATGGATGGCTGAAGGCACACAGGGCTTCCCCACGAGGTCCTTCCCCAGGGGCCATGAGCTGCCGCCCTTCCCGCCTGTCCATTAGCTGAGTATTTCTCAGCGCCCGTCAGTTTGGGGGCAGAGGGTTTGGGCTCAGCTCAGACAAGAACACAGGGCTCTGGGGGAACCAGCAAATTCACCTGTAAGTGAGCAGCCTGGCTTCTGTCTACGCTGTACAAAGAACACCCAAAGCAGAAACAGAAAATAGAAAAAAAGAGCCGAGTTTTGTGTAAAACATTTTAAAGATTCGACCCAAGAGGATTAGCATGCATTAAGGCACGTCGAAAACTCAGGAATTGTTCTGTTGCTGCGAACCATCCAGCGGCAGTTTGGGGGCGACGGGCTCTCTGCCAAGCCCTGGGTGGCAGGACAGCCCCACCTTGCTCTTCCCAGTGGCCATGCAGACCACAGAGGACCCCAGCTACCTGACGGGTGGGCGCCGGGTGAATCCGAGAAAAGACGATAGATAAAGTGTTTGAGGAGGATAATAAACCCCTCTCTCACACACACACGCACACGCACGCACGCACACACAACCCCCCCTTACTGCCTGACACGAAGGGCGTTAACAACACACACACACACTCATTCGATGTTTCAGACCCGGTGCTTTTCACGCCCCGCACGATAACCGTTCGTGAAGCCTGCTTTAAGACCAGGGAAGGCGTCGAGAACGAGAGGGGTTTAAGTCTATGCGCACACAGGAGCCCATTGTAACCAACCAACCACAAAAACCAGCGTCTGGCAATCTGCAGAGCCTTCCGCTAACAGTCATGAGACCCGGGGGCCAGGAGGGAGGCTTTCGTGGAGTCACGTCCACGGGCCCGATTCGGACATCTAGAAATGCAGCACGGCAGCGAAAGTAAATGAGCAGCAGCTGGAGCTGTGAGGGAGGCCGCACTTGACGGCCACCTGGCCCATCCTGGAGGCCCAGAGGCAGCACACAAGCGGGCCACCCGCTGCTCCAGGGGACAGAGGGTTATGGCCACCCCCGAAGGCGAGGGCGTGGCAGGGCTGTCCCAGCTTGCGTCCTCCAGGACCTGCTACCACAGAGGTCTTGCCATCGTGCATAAAATCTCTCAGTCTGTCCTTCCTGATGAGGCCTGGACCGTGTCCCCCAAATTCACACTGAAGGCCTAACCCCCAATACCTCAGAACGTGCCTGTGTTTGGAAATGGGGCCTTTAAAGAAGGAATTCAGGTAAAACGGGGTCATCAGGGCGGGTCCTACTCCAACATGACCGGGGTCCTTATAAGACATGGGTAAGGCCAGGTGGGCACTAGACTTATCGGCGGGGGGGTCACTTTGTAAGTTATACTAACGTCTGACCACTATGCTTTGCACCTGAAACGAATACGATATTAAATGTCAACTGTCACTGAAAATCTTTTAATTAACAACAAAAAGATAAGAGGCTGGGACCCGGAGGTGCGCGGAGGGAGGGCCACGTAGACACGGAAGAAACGGCCTCTGCCTCCCGAGGGACCCGCCCCGCCAAGACCGGGCTCTCAGGCTTCCCGCCTCGGGCCACAGGGCGTGCGGGCTGTTCAGGCCACCCGGTGTGGGACCCTGTGGTGTGGCAGCTCCAGCAAACTCTCACTCCCACCGAGCTGCCTGCCTGCCTCTGCCCTCCAACTTCTCAAGCCATCCACACCCCGGCGTCTTCCTGCGGAACTGCCCGTCTCCTCAGCCCTCTGCAATGACTCACGGCCACGTCCCCGCCCAGCCCGACGGGCCCTCAGCGCGCTCCCTCCTGGCCTCCTCTGGGGACCAGCAGCCGGACCGCCTGCTCTTTGAAGCATTTCTGCTGACTTGTAGGACGACACCCGCTTTTGCCTCTACTACGTCCCCCACGACTCTGCCGGTGCCCCCTGGTCCTTATGTGTGCCTCTGTCCCTTCCCACACGTTGAAAGCGGGACCTCAGCTAGGCCTTGCCTTGAATCGACACATGAGATGGGGGGGCGGCGAAAACGGGCTGGTTCATCGGTTCACTTGGCAGACACTTCCCAGGCCCATGCCGGAATAGTCCACTCGCATGACACGAACACCCACTCTCTTGTGGCTCCTCCTCAGTGACAGCCAGGAACAGGGGAGGGTGATGACTGGCCCTCTGCTTGCATATGGGGGGACTTGAGTCTCTGAAGCACGGACACAGATTGCAGAGGAAAAATCCTTAAACTCCTGGGAAGGGGAGAGCTCCTCTCACGTGTGTGACAGAAAAGGAAACTCATCCACGGACTGCTTTAGAAACGACGCCAACGAGTTAGTGCTCACGGGTTAAGCCAGCGCCTAAGGGAAGCAAGGCAGCGGGGCCTCACTCGGCCCCAGCCTCCCGGAGGACGTTACGCCACGCGACGGGTGACCCGAAGGACAGGTCCGCTGGCCACGTGACAGGACAGTTAAAGGGGGAAGACCTCCTCCGGCCTCTGCTACCCAACGATTTCCTTTCTGACCTGCCTCAGGGACCCCGAGTAAGTAATGAGTAACAGCCACAGCGTCATCTCTCCCGGACAGAGCACTGTGGGGCCTTCGCCGAAACCTCTGCCCGGACCGGCTTGTGCCACAGAGAGACAGACGGTGAACAGGGATGCTCACGGCCGCGCCTCCGAGATGGACCGCCGCCTGCTTCTGGAAAAAGCCCCGGTGGGCACCAGCATCTTCATGCTGCCTTATTGTTCCCAAAGCCACGTGGATGGCTACAGGCCGGGAGCGGGTCCTGGCCGTGCCGCGTCTTGGGCTCTGCCGGCTTCCTGCACCAAGTCTGGGCTGTGACAGCCCTGGCTGGATGCACGGGCCACCTGCCGGCCCAGGGGGCCAGAGAGGTCATGTCACAGGCCGCCAGCACCTGGGCTAACCGGGTGGGCGTTCAGACCAAAGGTGAGGACCTTGAGGAGCTGGGGGCCCCTGGCTGTGGGGACAAGGGAATGATGTCGTCTTTTTAACATACTTTTTTACGGGCGCTCAATGCTGTAATCTCGCCGTTGCTAAGTTCTCCCTTGTGAGGGTCGTGTGATTTGGAAACCGCCCCAGGGGTCAAAGCTCACGCGAAGGCCTGCTCGGCCGTCCTGGGTGGCTGGGTTTAGCTTGGCTACAGTCAACCAGGGCGGGCGTTGTGTCCCGGGGAACACTGGCAGTGTCCGGAGACATCTGCTCATTGTCATAAATGGAGAAGTGATCGTGGGTAGAGACAGCGACACGGCTCAACGCCCTGCGAGCATGGGACGGCACCCACCACAGTCACCTGCCGTGAGATGTCACCGGCGCGTGGCTCAGACACCTTGCTGCACACAGTTGGCAAAGAGCCCCAAAGTGGAAGCTGCTCCCTCACAGACGCTCCCGGGCAAGGCGTCCACGTCACATCAAGGAGCAAACATTCCCCGTGGCTCTGGCTAAGACTTCGTCTTTCCACCCCTCACTAGTAGGGGCGGAAGGCCTGCAGCTGGCCGAGTGCACGGGGCTGTTCTGGGGGCAGCGGCTGGGGGAGACGGAAGCAGGGTGTGCTGAGCCTCTCAGGTGACGGAGTCCCCCACAGGCGTGCCCAGCCAGCCCGGCTCCGGGTCTAATTAGTCACCCTATTTCTCACTGCAAGAAGCTCTGACATATCTCGAATGGCAAATCCTTTCAACCGACCTCTCCAGCACAAACCTGCCGGGCTGGGCGGGCCAGGCAGGGTGGACACGGCTCTTTCGAGGAGGGGCCGCGGTGTCACGCTGGTGCGTCCTGAACTTTGCAAAAGACGTCCATCCTCAGAGTCGTCAGTGCCATCTGTGGTGACCGGAGTTGATGTGTGTCGACCTGCTGTGACTTGTGTCACACATGAATTGAATGCTTTCACCACCCCTTCCTACACCGGAAAGCATGTATGTGTGAGCGTGCGAACGAGTGGCCACGGACATGTTGGGCTTGCCCAGCCACTGCACCTGGAAGCACGCTGATGAGACAATCGTGTGATTCAGACCTGGAATGAAGGCGTGCAAGGGCCACACTCGGAGCTTCCCAACTCAGCCTCTCGGGGTAACACGGTGAGGGCACGTAAGGGCTGGACGAGAGAACCTGCTACGAGCGCACGGGATTAATGCTGGAGGGACCGCTGAGTCCTTGGGGAGGGACAGACGCGTCAGGAAACGCTGTGCCCCAGGACCTCGGGCTGAGGGGTGCAGCTGGCCATGCCCCCCACGGGTGGGGACCTCCACTGCGATGTCCCTAAGGCTGACAGATGGCCAAAACGGAAGCTCGGATGTTTGGGTGCAGCTTCATGCTCCCCTAGGAGCCCCACTCCGGAATGTCACCGTGACAGCACTGTAGGAAACGGGGTCCCGGCTGGTGCTTCCTGCCAGAGCCAGAGGTCCCTGACCAGGCCCACCCGTGCAGGACGGAGGCCTGGCCCGGGAGAGACGCTGAGGGGTGCACACGTGCGGGGAGCGGACGGCAAGGGTGTCAGGGACGTGCCCCAGAAGGCAGCTGTGTAACTCTAACAAGACCTGCAACATGTCCGCCACGGCGCAGGACCCCGCTCTGGTGTTACAAACAGAAAGAACTTCAGTGATTATTATTCAGACACCGAGTCCTCAGAACTGCTCTCCAGTTTTCTGAAAGGAGACTATGGGGCTTTGAGGGGCCTGAGAGTCTTGCCGAGGGCCAGAGGGTGAAGGGCAGGTTCAGCGACATCAGCACTCAGAAGTCCCAGGGCCTCCAATATCGTAGATCGACCCGCAGAGCCCAGGTCTGAGCAGCCACCCCTCAGGAACACCGCCAGCCCCCTTGGGGCCGGACACAGAGCCTCCTGGAGACCTCTGCATCTGGTCCCGGGCTCTTGGAGCGTGGGGCTCGGCCCCCCAGCGCGGGGTGTTTGCAAAGCAGTTTTGTTGGCCCTCCCAGGCACGCCCAACCTCGTTCCCCACCTACCGAACCCTGGAGTCCTGCTGGCCAGGCTGGAGTAAGCGTTCCCGCTGGGCGAGGAGGTGGCCGGGCTGGACAGCGGGCTGTAGGAGGAGGGGTCGGCCGGGTAGGTGTGGCTTGTCCCAATCCCAAAGGGGGTCGACTGCGTCTTGCTGGACTGAGAAGGGATTTGCTGCAATCAGGACAGAGCCCGGATGGGGTGCAGCACCAGCAGCCCCTGCCCCTGCTGCAGGCCGGTCACCATCGCCCACAGGTATGGCGGCACGGTGACATGCTGCTCTGGGCCGGCCGGACTCCCCACGGCCCTCCTGGCTGGCTGGGCACAGGGTGGGGGCCAGGCCAGCCTGTGCAGGCACAAGAACCTCAGGACTTGGGCCCTGGATGTTTGGGGCAGGTCCTACTGAAGTCACCCCCAGGGCTACCGTGATCTGGGTCCCCTGGTTTCTGATGACGGGTTCTGGTGCCACGACCACCAAGACCTGCCCTGACTTGTGCTCCTGGACACCCAGCTGTGGTCCAGCTCAGAGCGCTGAGCCAGCCTCAGGGCCAACACCCAGAGAAGTCACAGCTGGGCGCTCTGCCCGCTGGCACCGGGGGACCGTGCCGTCCGCGAGGCCCGTACCTGTCCGGGGAAGGGCGGCCGGCTCCCCGCCCACGCCGCCTGGCTCTGGCTCAGCTGCCGGGAGATCTGGGACATGCTCTGGCCCGCGGGGGAGGGGGACTGCATGTCGTTCACCCCGGGCACGTGAACCACAGGTGAGCTACGAGAGAGCACGAGGGTCCTGAGGGGCTGCGCGCCGGGACCGCCACCCCCGGTTCCCGCTCCGCGCCTCCGAACGGATGCCGCCCAGGAACGGAGGGGCCTCCCAGAGTGAAAAGCGGTCTCCCCTCAACCCACTCCTCCGAGTTCTGGGCGACGGTTCCTCTGGGTGACAGTTCCTCTGAGACGCCCGCAGGGCTTACGGGTTCAGGAAAGGGGTCGCAGGCCGTCAGGTCGTTGGTCTTAAGCAGAGGAAGAGCCTGACAGAGGAGCCCGCTGGTCGGAGCCCAGCCCTGGGCATGCGGCTGTTACGCCCCCCGCCCTCCTCAGCGGAACTGTCTCCGTTAGGCGGGCAGCTGTGCTCACCCCACACCGCCCCCGCTGCGTGGCCAGCGGCACTGAGCACCCCTCTGCGAGCTCGGTCTCTGGCCACTGTCCCCTCCAGGGCACGCACAGTCTGCATGGTTGACACGTGTGCCCTGGGATTTTTCCAGCTACGCCCGCTACGTGGTAAGCTCATGAAGGCGGGTAAGCCTGCATGTCGTGTCCGGCCCTTCCCCTGGCCCCCGACCCAGCTCAGCACGGGCAGTGACCTCGAGAGGCCCTATATGCTAAGAACCAAGCCTGGAGAAGGCCAGACACCCTGCCTGTACCTCTGAGTGGCCCTACAGGCCGAGATCCCAGGCACGATGGGCCAAGTCATCCTCTCTTTCTTGGGTCTGACTGTGGCCTCTGGGAAGCAGGGAACAGGGCACTTGCTGATGCCCTACCAGGTGTCCTCAGCTCTGACCTAGTCCAGAGGCCCCCTCACTCCCTTCTCCCTGGCAGGCGCCCTCCCGGTCTGAGAACGTGTGAGTGACGGCAGATCCCGTCTCTGGCAACCCACGGAGGGCGTGGGCGGAACCAGAACGCCCCAGATCCTCGGCCCGGCCCGGAGCCCGCGGACGGCAAGCACTGCCCGATGTCGTAGCATTGCAGCTCAGGGCCGAGCTCCGAGACCCTCCCACCCCGGACCCCCACCCCACACGCACCTGAAGGCCTTCCCCGAGTGTCCCGCCGGGAAGGGGCTCCCTTGGGGGTAGATCTGCTGGGTTCCCGCCGTGGAGGCCGAGCTCATCATCTTCTTCTCCGCTGGGAAGAGCAGAGCAGGGGTCACCGGGAGGGTCCCCGGCCTGCGGATCATGGGGCGGGCAGCCCCAAGAGCAGGTGCGGGGCGGGCGTGCAGGGCAGGCCTGGGGGTGGCGCCCTAGCCTCTGCACGCGCATCTCCAGGGCCTCCCTGCACCCTTCAGCCTGGCCTCCGCCTCCTGGCCCAGGCCACGAGCCACCGGAAGGCAGGGCCCCTCCATGGTCAGGAAGGTTCCCATTAGACACCACCTTCCTGAATCCCTCCAGCCCCACGGGGTGGGTGACTCACCTCACGTGCGAGGAGGCAGGCCACAGTGGGCGTGAACCCCAACTCCACCCCACACGGCAGGGGTGTGGACAGAAACGGACGGACAGACAGACGTGCGGACGTGCCCATCGCTGTATCTGTTACCTTCGGTCTTCGCTCTTTCGTACTCAGGAGTCAGCGATCAACTCACCAACCCACTTTCTCGCCCGTGATCGTCACACTCTCCAGCCATCTCTCTTCTCAGAGTGTCTTCCAATCGCTAAGTTTCCTCGTCCTCTCGGAAGCTGTTTGGAAGCGCGATTTCCTTCCTTCCTTCCGTGGGTTTTTCCCCTTCCATCAGTGGGTACGTTTAAACACACCAGAAACAAAACTTCTCGTAAGCGTCCAAGATAAAACTCCGCGTGCTGATGAAAGCCGCCTGCTTGTTACCCCGAGTCCAAAGCACGCCGAACCGAGTCGCTTCTGGCTTTTATTTTAAAACGTCTTTTGTGTCTCCTAACGATGTCTACACTCGTTTTAGGCGCCGGTGGCTCCACCGCCCATCGCTACTGCTTTTCTAACCTGTCGCTTCCATTCCCGTGTTTCGTGTTCTGACTCATTTCACGAGCCAGCTAAGGCTGGCGCAGGCAGGCGGTGCGCCCCGGAGGACGTCTCCCGCCGTTTCTGTCGATGAGAGCAGCTCGGCTGCTGGGGACTTTCTGCCACGCGTAGGTCTTTTCTCATCTGTTGTTGCTGTTTACGGTTTGCCATCTTCACGGGAAGGTGTCTGCATTTGCACACCGCTAAGCTTCAAGCGGATCGCCCAGAAATGCTGGGGGAACCTGGTCAGCCACTTCGGCCTCGTCTGAGAAGGGAAAGCTCCGAGACGTGCCACGGCTTCTTCCTCTTGCGGGATGAAGCTACGTGACTCCACACAAGCCGAGGACGTAGCGACGCCGGCGGGCGGCATATCTGGAAGGCCGGGACCTCGCGACAGGAGCTTCTGTCGGCAGCTGGACACCGACTGCCCTCTGTGGGCGGCAGCCCCAGCGCCCTCCTCCAGGTCTTAGCATTCGGCCCGCAGCCAAGCGGGGACGGCTGTGGTCTCCCGCTGCCCACGGTGGCATCACGGCTCTGAGGCCTGCTCTCCTCCCGCTGCCCGAGGCCTCGCTGCCCGCCCTCCGCCCACGCTGGCCCCAGCGTGGCGATGAGGCTGGCAGGACGCCCCTGCGGTTCTCTTCCTCCAGCTTCCACGCTCCCCACGGGCGAGGCGGCTGCTTCTGCCGTCCCCCGACCGCGTGAAGACGGCACTTCCCGTCTGAGCTTTGGAACCGATGAGGACGCGTCGCTCTAGGGGTGACCGGGGAGGGAGCGGGAGGCAGCGACGCCCGCGGGCTCCAGGGGCGCCTCCACTGAGGACAGCGCTGTGGAGACAGGGCTGCCCACCACACGGGGGTCAGGGCGAGCTGCGGAGCGGCCGCCAACGGAACGCGACACCAACAGTAACCGGAGTCAGCGCACCGATCTGGAAATGTGTTTACAACCAACGGTCACGCGCGAAAAGCAAGCCGCCCAGCCGTGCGAGCTCGGTTTTGCGTGTGAAAAGCACTCGCGTGTGTAGAAAGAGACAGATGGGACGTACTTTTTAAAAGTGATTATATCCAGGTGGTGGCAGAGCGGATGATTCAAAGTTTTCTTTTTTAATGCACGTTTCCATTTTAAAATGTAGCCCTCTCTGCGTCGGAGATTACATTGAGATTGTTTTTACGGGAACATGCTTTTGGCCTAATAAAACTGAACTGCTCCATGGGTGAACACAGCTCATTTATTCCAAAGCCTCCAACTTGAAGGTGCGATGTCAGAGGCCTCCGGGTTCTGGTGCTCTCTGATGTCCTGAAGCAGTCTCTGAAGACTCCGCCTCCGCGGCCCTGTCCCCACGGGTGGCTGTCTCTAGATGGCCTGACAGCAACTACATACCCCTCACGCTCACCCCATGCTCACCCTCAGCGCCGTGCGCCCAGACACTCACATGCACTGATGCCTGCAAACATCTCAGCAAACCGAGGGTCCCTCTCCTGCGAAAAGATCGCATCCGCCTTCTCCACAGACTTCCCAGACTCGTGCACACCAGCCGGCAGGTTGGGGACAGGAACCTGTTTGCACATCGAAACACAACAGCGCCACATGTGTGAGGCACAGAGCATACGCCTGCAGCAGCCACGGGGTCCCTGTCATCGAAGCCCTCCCTCGGGAACTGCTGGGGGTCCAGGCTGAATGGGTCTGGGGGGTGGCAAGCTTTTCTATACGAGAAGGCCAAGAAGAGACCGGTGGGGCGTCAACTGTAGGTCACAGAAAGAACAACAAGGTGAGAGAGAAATAAAAATAATCCATTCACTCTAAATCGCAGAAAAGGTGGACGTGAAGTTTAACTAAGGAGACCGCATGCCAACATACAGTGGTTTCTCTACGCAG